GTTCAAGGGAGTTCTTCAAGTTGAAATTAAAGGATGCTGGACAGCAACACAAAAGCATAGAAAAATATAAAGCTTCCTACACAGGTAAATATATAGAATCCTGTAATACTGTAAAGGTAGTATATAACTCGCTTTTTTTTTTTCTTTTTACATTCGAATCCAGTAAGTTGGATCCAGAACTTTTTTTTCTGTTTAGTTCCAAGGCCAGAGGCATACTGTTTGGATCAAAACTCTGAAATTACATGGTCTAGGTTCAGATACTGGATCAAACTACTTTCTATCTCAGAGATCTTGGCCAGGTTATAACTCTCTGAGCTTCAGTTTTTTCATCTGTAAAATGGGCTAAATGTGGTACCTCTCTCATAGTTTTATTTAAAAATCCATTTGGAAACTATCAAAGGTGTATTTTCAATGTTGTAATGAGGATTTATTTTCAGAGATTCACTTCTATGCTTCTATAATTATAATATTTTAGTATAATTAACTAAATGGATATTCATGTTTAAAATTACTAAAATTATTCACAGTCTGGCAAAAACAAAAGTAAGGACATAGGCACAGTTTATTCTAAACCCTCCCCCTCATTCTCTTTGATCTATTCCTTACACACTCATTATTTTCACCTCTGTAGAAAGAATAGGTATGTGATTATTTTTATCTATAAATGTATCTTCTATTAAAAAGCCAGTACCATGACTATGGAAAAATTGGAAAAGAATGAAGACAACAATCTGGCACATCCTTACCCATTACATCACAACTTTATTGTATTTTCTCCTAAACATTTTTCAGTGTATCACCCCACCTCCCTGTAACTCACTTTTAATTCTGGTATAGAATTTAAAGATAAAAGAATAAAAATAATTATAACTATAAAACTATGTTAATAGATACACAGCATAAAAAGGTATAAATTATGAATCAATAACATAAAGTGTTGAGGGGGAGAAGTAAAGTGTAGTTTTTGTATATGTTTGAAGTTAAGCTGTTATCTGCTTAAAATAGACTATTATAACTACACATATTTTATGTAAGCCCCATACACATACCCATAGAAAACACACAAAATACCTATAGAAGATACACAAAACAAAAAGAGAGAGGATTCAAAGTGTATCAATACAAAAATTAATGAAACACAAAAGAAGCCAGTGTTATGGACTGAATGCTTATGTTGCCCAAAATTCATATGTTGAAATCCTAACACCTAATGTGATGGAATTAGGTGGTGGGGCATTTGGCAGGTGATTAGGTCATGAGGATGGAGCCCTTATGAATGGGATTCATGCCCTTATAAAAGAGACCCTAGAGACATCCTCACCCATTCTGCCATATGAGGGCACATAGAGATTATGGCCATCTATGAACCAGGAAGCGGGCTCTCACCAGACATTGAATCTTCCAGAGCCTTGATCTTGAACTTCTCAGTCTCCAGTACTGTGAAAAAAATATTTTTTGTTTCAGACATCCAGTCTATGGTATCTTTGTTATAGTAGCCTGAACAGACTATGGCAGACAGCAAGAGAGGAAAAGAGGGACAAAAGAACTGAAAGAGAGGGACAGGCCTGGTGGTGTAGCAGTTACGTTCACAAGCTCTGCTTTGGAGGCCCAGGGTTCACAGGTTTGGATCCTGGGCATGGACCTACTCACCGCCTATCAAGCCATGCTGTAGCAGGTGTCCCACATATAAAGTAGGGGAAGATGGGCACAGATGTTAGCCCAAGGCCAATCTTCCTCAGCAAAAAGAGGAGGATTGGCAACGGATGTTAACTCAGGGCTAATCTTCCTCACCAAAAAAAAAAAAAAAAAAAGAACTGCAAGAGAGACAGAAAGCAATTTAAAAAATGGCACAGTAAGTTCTCTATCAATAATTACTTTAAAAGTAAATAGGTTAGAATCTCCAATCAAAAGGTATAGAGTGGTTGAATGGATTAAACAGAAATCCCCAAGATTCAAGTATATGCTGTCTAAAGACTCACTTTCGATTTAAGGACACACACAGGCTGAAATTTACAGGATGGAAAAAGGCATTCCATGCAAATAGTAACAAAAAGAAGGCAGAGGTAGCTATACCTACATTAGATAAAATGGATTTTAAGTCAAAAACCTCACAGTAGATGAAGAAGAATATTCTATAATGATAAAAGGATCAATTCACCAGGAAGATATAATAATTATAAATATATGTGCAGCCAACATCAGAACACCTAAGTACATAAAGCAAAGACTGATGAAACTGAGGGAGAAATACAGACAAAATACAGTAATAGTAGAAGACTTCAATACCCCACTTTCAATAAGGGATAGAACATCCAAACAGAAAATCAATAAGGACACAGCATACCTAAACAATGCTATAGACCAAATGGACCTAATAGACATATAGAAACATTTCACTCAATAGCAGCAGAATATACATTCTTCTCAAGTACACATAGAACATTCCCCAGATTAGTTATATGTTAGGTCACAAAACAAGTCTTAACAAATTTAAGAAGCCTGAAATATATCAAGTATCTTTTCTGATCACAATGGAATGGAAACAGAAACCAATACCAGAAGGACTACTGGAAAATTCACAAAAATGTGGAAATAAAATAACACACTCCTGAACAACAAATGGGTAAAAGAAGAAATCCAAATGAAAATTAGAAAATATCTTGAGAAAATGAAAATACAATACACCAAAACCTATGGGATGCAGCAAAAGCAGTACTAAGAAGGAAGTTTATAGAGATAATTGCCTACATTAAAAAAGAAGAAAGATCTCAAATAAGCAACTTAACTTTACATCTCAAGGAACTGGAAAAAGAATAGCAAACTAAGCCCAAAGTTAGCAAAAGGAAGGAAATAATAGATTAGAGCAGAAATAAATGAAATAGAGTGTAGAAAAACAATAAACAAAAATCAATGAATCTGAGTTGGATTTTTGAAAAGAAAAACTGACAAATCTTTAGCTAGACTAAGAGAGAAGAAAGAAAATTCAAATAAATAAAATCAGAAATGAAAGAGGAGACATTACAACTGATGCCACAGAAATAGACAGGATCATAAGAGACTACTATGAACAATTATATGCCAACAAATTCAATAACCTAGAAGAAATAGATAAATTCCTGGAAACATATAACATAGACTGAATCATGAAGACTGAATCATGAAGATACAGAAAATCTGAACAGACTAGTAAGGAGATTAAAACAGTAGTCAAAAATCTCCCAACAAAGAAAGGCCCAGGACCAAGTGGCTTCTCTGGTGAATTCTACCAAACATTTAAAGAAGAATTAGTACCAATCCTTCTCAAACTCTTCCAAAAAACTGAAGAGGAGGGAACACTTACAAACTCATTTTATGAGTCCAGTATTATCCTGATACCAAAGCCAAACAAAGATGACACAAGAAAAGAAACTTACTGATATCCCTTATGAACCTAGATGCTCACCAAGATACTTCTAAACTGAATTCGACAGCACATTAAAAGGATCATACATCATGACCAATTGGGATTTATTCCTGGAATTTGAGGATGGTTCAACATATTAAAACCAATCATTATGATACACCACATTAACAGAACAAAGGATAAAAATCACACGATCATCTCAATAGATGCAGAAAAACCATTTGATGGAATTCAATGTCCTTTCATGATAGAAAAAAATACTCAACAGACTAGGAACAGGAGGAAATTACCTCAACATAATAATGACCATATATGAAAAGCCCACTGGTATTATCATACTTAACAGTGAAAAACTGAAAGCTTCTCCTTTATGATCAGGAACAAAGCAAGGATGCCCAGTCTCATCACTGCTATTCAACCTAGTACTGGAAGTCCTAGCCAGAGCAATTAGGCAAGAAGAAGAAATAAAAGGCATTCAAATCAGAAAGGAGGAAGTAAAATGATCTCTGTTTATGGATGCCATGGTCTTATACATAGAACCCTAAAGATTTCACAAAAAAACTCTTAGAACGAATAAATGTATTCAGCAAAGTTGCAGAAAACAAAATCAACATACAAAAATCAATTGGGTTTCTATATACCAAAACCGACCTGTACGAAAAGAAAATTAAGAAAGCAATCCCCCTGAAAATAGCATCAATGCCCACTCTCACCATTTTTATTCAACATAGTACTGGAAGTCTTAGCCACAGCAATTAGGCAAGAAAAAGAAATAAAAGGCATCCAAATGGGAAAGGAAGAAGTAAAACTGTCACTATTTGTAGATGACATGATATTATATACAGAAAAACCCTAAAGACTCCACAGCAAAACCCTAAAGACTCCACCAAAAAACTGTTAGAGATTGGATTGGTGGTTACCAGAGGGGAAGGGGGGAGGGAGGAGGGTGAAAGGGATAATTCAGTACATGTGTGTGGTGATGGGTTGTAATTAGTATTTTGGTGGTGAACATGATGTAATCTATGCAGAAATAGAAGTACAATGATGTACACC